GCGGGGTGGGGAGCAGCTGCGGTAGGAAGGCCGCATCATCTGGCGTGAAGGGAGGCATCTGCTGGTGCTCCTAGCGCGACGCTGCATGGGGAAGCCCCCGTAAGAGCCCTGGCTCTGGCATGGGGGTGCATAAGTGCGACATGAAGCCCGGGACTGACGCTGGGGGGCGCAGCTGCCGAAGGAACCCTGATATTGGCACTGGGTGGAGAATCTTCCTTGAGTCTGGCATGCTGAGGGGTACGCTACATACCTCTGGACAGGCTGGGGAGCTGGGTAGGGTACATAGGTTTGGACGGGGCATTCCACGTAGCGAGTTTCTGTATAACAAGCTGGAGCACATTCTACAAAGCAGGTCTGAACAGGGCATGGGGCTCCACACGGCACGTAGCAAACCTCAGGCTGGCATGCAGCCTGGCTGATCACCTGCGTGGTCTGGGACTGGCCTGGAGCCTGACCCTTCACGCTGGCGGTCTGAGCCTGGCCTGAAGCCTGGCTGCTCACCTGAATGGTCTGGGACTGGCAGGGAACTTGGCCCTTCACCTGGGAAACTTGAACTGGGCATGGTGCAGGGCACTCCATGATTTGCATCCCACAAGGGGCTTGAACTACCACCTGGCCCTGGGGAGAAGGGTACGGGGAGGGGAAGAAGGAGGAACCCTTCACACAGCACTGGGGGAGCGGCAGGCAACACGGAATCTGTTGCTGGTCACACATGGTTCCTGTGCAGACGTGTGAGCAGGACCTGAGGGGTAGAAAGACCAGCTTTAAGAGGGTGGGATTTGGGGAGGAGGGCCCAAGACCAAGGGAAGACACCCTGCTTCCTCCCTGGCCTTTCTTCCCCAACCCTCGACCTTCGTTCCAGAATACTTGCTGAGTTGTCTGGACCTAAGATTACTCACTGTTGCCCAAGAAAGCTGCCTTGGATCTGCTGCAAGACCTGACGGAGGACAGCTTCAAGGGCACAGCTTCAAGGGCACAGCCAGGGTTGCAGGTGTCTGGCCTCTTGCACTGGAGGCTGGGCATACCAGTGTCCACCACAGGAGGGCGCTAACAACAGGAAGTTTCCCATCACCTCCTGGTTTCCTAAGTGGTGGGAGGGAGCTCTACAGAAGTGGAGGCCACCCATGCTCCCAGGCTGTCGTCCAAAGTGGGGACTCCCCAACCAGAGGAGCTTAAACTACTCAGACACATGTACTGTCCACACATGAAAAAAATGTGTATGTAAGAACAAGCACTCAGGCACCATCTGTGCTCCAAGTATCCACTGGAGAGTAAAGAATTCAGTTAGT